TTGGTGTCTGGGGGAGGAATAGTGCCCCATCGTTGGTGTCTGGGGGAGGAATAGTGCCCCATCGTTGGTGTCTGGGGGAGGAATAGTGCCCCATCGTTGGTGTCTGGGGGAGGAATAGTGCCCCATCGTTGGTGTCTGGGGGAGGAATAGTGCCCCATCGTTGGTGTCTGGGGGAGGAATAGTGCCCCATCGTTGGTGTCTGGGGGAGGAATAGTGCCCCATCGTTGGTGTCTGGGGGAGGAATAGTGCCCCATCGTTGGTGTCTGGGGGAGGAATAGTGCCCCATCGTTGGTGTCTGGGGGAGGAATAGTGCCCCATCGTTGGTGTCTGGGGGAGGAATAGTGCCCCATCGTTGGTGTCAGTGGAGGGGAGGAATAGTGCCCCATCGTTGGTGTCAGTGGAGGGGAGGAATAGTGCCCCATCGTTGGTGTCAGTGGAGGGGAGGAATAGTGCCCCATCGTTGGTGTCAGTGGAGGGGAGGAATAGTGCCCCATCGTTGGTGTCAGTGGAGGGGAGGAATAGTGCCCCATCGTTGGTGTCAGTGGAGGGGAGGAATAGTGCCCCATCGTTGGTGTCAGTGGAGGGGAGGAATAGTGCCCCATCGTTGGTGTCAGTGGAGGGGAGGAATAGTGCCCCATCGTTGGTGTCAGTGGAGGGGAGGAATAGTGCCCCATCGTTGGTGTCAGTGGAGGGGAGGAATAGTGCCCCATCGTTGGTGTCAGTGGAGGGGAGGAATAGTGCCCCATCGTTGGTGTCAGTGGAGGGGAGGAATAGTGCCCCATCGTTGGTGTCAGTGGAGGGGAGGAATAGTGCCCTATCGTTGGTGTCAGTGGAGGGAGGAATAGTGCCCCATCGTTGGTGTCAGTGGAGGGGAGGAATAGTGCCCCATCGTTGGTGTCAGTGGAGGGGAGGAATAGTGCCCCATCGTTGGTGTCAGTGGAGGGGAGGAATAGTGCCCCATCGTTGGTGTCAGTGGAGGGGAGGAATAGTGCCCCATCGTTGGTGTCAGTGGAGGGGAGGAATAGTGCCCCATCGTTGGTGTCAGTGGAGGGGAGGAATAGTGCCCCATCGTTGGTGTCAGTGGAGGGGAGGAATAGTGCCCCATCGTTGGTGTCAGTGGAGGGGAGGAATAGTGCCCCATCGTTGGTGTCAGTGGAGGGGAGGAATAGTGCCCCATCGTTGGTGTCAGTGGAGGGGAGGAATAGTGCCCCATCGTTGGTGTCAGTGGAGGGGAGGAATAGTGCCCCATCGTTGGTGTCAGTGGAGGGGAGGAATAGTGCCCCATCGTTGGTGTCAGTGGAGGGGAGGAATAGTGCCCCATCGTTGGTGTCAGTGGAGGGGAGGAATAGTGCCCCATCGTTGGTGTCAGTGGAGGGGAGGAATAGTGCCCCATCGTTGGTGTCAGTGGAGGGGAGGAATAGTGCCCCATCGTTGGTGTCAGTGGAGGGGAGGAATAGTGCCCCATCGTTGGTGTCAGTGGAGGGGAGGAATAGTGCCCCATCGTTGGTGTCAGTGGAGGGGAGGAATAGTGCCCCATCGTTGGTGTCAGTGGAGGGGAGGAATAGTGCCCCATCGTTGGTGTCAGTGGAGGGGAGGAATAGTGCCCCATCGTTGGTGTCAGTGGAGGGGAGGAATAGTGCCCCATCGTTGGTGTCAGTGGAGGGGAGGAATAGTGCCCCATCGTTGGTGTCAGTGGAGGGGAGGAATAGTGCCCCATCGTTGGTGTCAGTGGAGGGGAGGAATAGTGCCCCATCATGGTGCTGCTGCAGCCAGCATACCTGGTTGCAGCAGCACCATCAGCACGGCACACTTACCTGTCAGCTGTCCTTCACTCCGGCCTCTCTCTCACTCGATATTCGCGGGGCCGCTCGGCTCCACCTCCTCACAGGTGATTGGCCGCCTGTGTGCCTTTTCTGAGCTACAGTTCTGTCGCCCAATCATGGGTGAGGAGGCGGAGCCAAGCGGCAGGAGTGAGGGAGTTGCCGGAGTGAATGAAGGAGCAGCGCTTCCTGGACTGGATCGTCGTGGGACTGGGACCGGAGCCAGGTAAGGTACAGCAGCCCCCTGCCCACCCCTGTACTTAGTGTCCCTTCCTGTCCCGCCCCTGCTGGTGGGCCGGATAAATGGCCTCGGCGGGCCGCATGTGGCCCGCGGTGCGTAGTTTGAGGACCCCTGCCCTAAGGCCACTGCTGCATGCTCATCCACAAGCCGCTGCTCTATGCGTCCCGAAGACATTTTCTCAGTGAATGCAAAGCATTCCTTGATTGGTTGAGGTGGAGAGGCAGGTTGGTGACATCGCTGTTTCCCATTCAGTGAGAAACGGAAAGTGTGTTCTGAATAGTTTCCATGCCGCGCAAGCAAGCTTTTGTGTTCAGTATGCCGCTTGGCACAGGACTCGCACAGATAACTGTGGCAGCAGTGTTCACTACGGGATTTCCAGCTCCTAGAGGGATCTCACAGGTATGGTATATGCGATTCTTTTAATGACTGGAACTCTTTTATAGGTTCCTGTATTAAAAGGAAGCTGAAAATTCTCCAGTAAGAGACAGCAATAAAAACCTGACAAAAGATTAAGCTCTGGTTCACACTAAATCCAACTTTGAAATTGTGCGACTTCACTTGAGTTTGCACAATTTCAAAGCACTTAGTCATTGCGATTTCAGATGCAACTTGGCTGACATCTGTTACTTCATGCACAGATGTCTATGCAAGTTGCACCTGAAATCGCAGAGAATGCAGAAAGCATTTTTTTTTTTTTCCCAAGTCTGTGCATCTCAAAGTCATACCGATTTGAACAATTCCATTGCCGACAGAATGGTGCGACTTGTCATGTAATTTAGAACCGTCATATCGCATGTCATGTGGCACCATGTGAACCAGGGCTGAAGGTTAACTTTCCCTCTTTATTCATAACAAAATTAAATGTTTTGGGTGGAGTCAGGCATTGACATTTAACCACTTGCCCTCCTGAGGATTTTCCAAACCCCCCCCCCAAACTAAAATTTTATCATTTTCTTCACATAACTAGAGCTTTCTCTTGGTGGTATTTAATCAACACTGGGGTTTTAATTTTTTCTAAATTAACAAAGAAAGATTGAAAATTTTGAAGAAAAATTTGTTTCTGTTATAAAAGTTTGTAAATAATTGTTCATACATTTAGGCCGAGATGTATTCTACTACATGTCTTTGGTGAAAATAACCCAAATTAGGATGTATTTTTTAGTTTGTAGGAAAGTTAGAGTTCACAAACTATGGTATAGATCTGAATATTGATCAATCCTGAAGTACTGACAGCCAATCTAATTTCTTGAGGTCCAAGAATGTCAGAACAGTACAGATACGACCCCTTTTTGTAAAGTAGACAGTCCGACGTATTTCATAAGAGGCATGGCGAGTTTTTTGAAGTTGTAATTTTATTGTCATAATTTTTCAGAAAATGAAAATAATCTTTTTTTTTTTTTTTTTTTTTCTTTTTTCATACTGTCACCAGTGCAGCACAGCGTCGTCATATAATTGGCATGGCAGTACGATTTTTTTTATTAGTTTTAATTTATTACATTTTTTTTCTCTTTAAGATTTTTTTTTTTTTCATATTTAACTATGACCAAAGTAGTATGTTACCATAGTAACATTGTACTACCTTGGGGAAGTGATCAGTATTTATTTTTTTATTATTTTTTTTTTTAGACAATTTTGCTTATAGCAAAGAATTCCTTTGCTATAACCAAGTAACCAAGCATTTACCTGAATGACATCGATTCATTCAGGGGGGTTTTTTTGGGTTTTTTTTGTGCTTAGCTGTGATTTGGCCACAGCTAATCACATGACACAGCTGGGCTGTGATTAGCCCAGCTTGTGCATGTGATCGCTGTGATCATTCACAGCTAGACACAGTATACAATGGATGGCATGAAAGGAAGCCACCCGTTGTATACAACTGTCATGTGACCTGCTGTGATTGGTCACATGGTACTGGAAACGGGGCCGGTACACAGATCTGTCATCGGCCGTGTCCGAGGTACATGGCAGTGACAGTCCGCTCCACAGAGAGGACCTGTGTGCATTCAAACTGCGCCTGAAAATGCCTGAAAGGACGCCATATGGCGTCCACCCGGAGGAACGAGCTGCTCGCCCGACCACCTTTGTGCTATTGGCCAGGCAGGAACTGGTTAATCACAGCTGGGTGTCTTTATTTTTTGCGCTATAAACAGAGCCAAAAATGGAAAAAAAAAACTTTTTTTTTCTATTGTAAAATTTTGCAAACCGGTAATTTTTTTTTTTTTTTTTTTTCTTTTCTCCACTGATGTGTGTTGATCAGGCTGCACTGGTGGGCGGCACTGATGGGTACTGATCATCAGGGCACTGATGATTGGTGCCGATCCTTCCTCTTGACAATGGCTGGTTATCGGCAGTAGCGTGAGGAAAGTGCAGCCGATACCCGGCAACTGTATTTACCGATCTGTGTCATTGGACATACCTGATCCCGTGATTAAAAGCCACTGTGATTGGCCTTTTACCTTATTACGTGATCAGCTGTGTCCATAGGACACAGCGATCACCGACACCGCTGGCGGCGCATTCTGGGAGGATGTCCATGGATGCCCTCCCAGAGCTGGACCACTGCGCTGTAGCAGTCTTTCGGCTATAGCACGGTTGGGAAGTGGTTAAATTAAAAAGGAAAGTGCAGCCGATAATCGGCAACTGCAGTTACCGGTGATCTGCTGTGTCATTGGACACAGCTGATTACATGGTAAAAGGCCGCTGTGATTGGCCATTTACCATAGGACACAGCGATCACTGGCAGTGCCGGGTGTGTGCTGCTGGGGAGAGCGCAGGGGTGTGTGTTCTGGAATGGACGTCCAGACAACCACGCTGTAGCTGTCCTTCAGCTATAGCGTGGTAGAGAACTGGTTAACCTAATTTGGACAGGAGTACTACATAAACTGCTTTTTTCGCTGTAGTTGCCTGGTGTTAATTTTGTGTTTTTCCTCTCTTCTCAGGATTGTCAAAATGGTGAAGCTGTTTGTAGGTAACCTTCCCCCTGCGGCAACTCAAGCAGAGCTCAAATCTCTCTTTGAGCAGTATGGTAAAGTAACAGAGTGTGACATCATAACAAATTATGCCTTTGTTCACATGGAAGACAAAAAGGCTGCAGATGAAGCTGTAAATAATCTGAATCAGTGTAAACTTCATGGAGTTTCCATCAATGTGGAACACAGTAGAGGCAAACCTAGAGCTTCAACCAAGCTTCATGTGAGCAGCCTTAGCACTGAGTGCACAGGTGACGAGCTACGGGAAAAATTTGAGGAATACGGGACCGTGTTGGAGTGTGATATAGTTAAAGATTATGCCTTTGTTCACATGGAGAAAGCAGAAGAAGCCTTGGAGGCCATCAGAAATCTAAACAACTGTGATTTCAAAGGTGAAATTTCTTTTGACAGCTGGGATCAACTGTTTTGTTTTTAGGTGTCTTCAGTGAGAGGTACAATTGGGTTTCATGGAGGAGTCATGTTGAAGTTTGGGGTTACTACAATACATTCATACTTGCCTGTATGCTGCAGAATCGCTGTGATACTACAGCTGTTACCTGTCAACTCTAAGACTGAGAACTGAGATCAGTCAATTCTTGGTCTTCTATGAGCGGAGAGCAGTGACGGTCAGTCTCCAGCCTCCTCTCTGCCCCTCCATTGCTCAGTGGAGTGCCAGGCAGCAGAGGGGGGTGGCGCAGCTGGTTTTGGCTCTCAGCCATGCACTGAGAACCAGAACTAGCTGTTCATCAGGCATGTGGGAGGTTCCCAACAATGTAATCAGGATTCTTTCTGAGTCAGGAAGCTATGGAGACTTACACTGTCAATTCACCACACCAGGGTGAAGGGAGCTTGCGAGTGCAAGGCTCTTGTTTTACAGTAAATTCTACCTACCTGTTACCAAAAATCAAATGAGCAGTGCATCACAGCGCCACTTATCTGTGGTTGCCAGAGAAATTAGAGGGGATGATGTCAGAGCTGGGGCATGATCTTTGCATGTGTGTGAAGGCAGCACACCTGTATACAAATGAAAAGTAAACCTTTTAATTTTTAGAGGTTGATAACATTGTTCTGTGGGGGTGGGGTGCTATTTTCTGACTTGCATGGGGAGCTGCTGATGCAGACTGGTGAGTATGCTTAATGAACCATTTGTGTGAACAGATGTTCCCACTGGCAGGATTTTGAAGACGTTTGTACTTCAGCGCAATAAGCATCTGAGTTTAACCTGAACTGAAATGTTTTATTGAAAGTTAAATCTAAAAAGAGTATAGAGCCCCGTGGTGGTGCTGCTTCCTGCAAAAAAGATACACCACAAGCTATCTGCCTGCCTTACAGATCCTGGAAGCAGAATCACTAATGGCCCTCTTTAATAATGGGTCGTAGATTGTCTCAGTAGTTCTGTGTGCATTTTTATATTTCTTTGCCATTTAAGACATCTATTAGTTGCATCAGTTTGGAACTGCAATACTGAGGACTCATTCTCACCATGGTGCAGAGACATCAGTTTTTTCTGCACGTGTTCAGTTGTTCTCTACATGCCCTGTTCACACCACTAGTATCACATGCAGATTTGTTTTCTGCAACGTGTATAAAACTCATTGACACGTGCATGAAAACTGATGGCTCTACAGGTGAAGTCTGCATGTCAGTTTCCATCAATTTTTCTGCACGTATGGTGTTAACAAAGCCTTAATATTAAGGTTCTTACCCTGGCAAAGTATTTTTTTTAAATGTATCCAATAGGGCAGATCGTTTCAAAAGTTGCTATCTGTTATAACTGGTGAAAGGAAAAATATTTGTATTGATGCAGCATTGCTCAGAAGTGATTTACATAACCGTCCCACTGGGCTCCCAACCATATCTGTTGACTGGTACTTATGGTGTGATCTTACTGTATGGCTTCAGTTAATACATAATGCAAAGCTAATAGCTATGACTGAGCATTATAATTTCTACATGTACAAATCATTTCTAGTTAGTTCACTGAAGCATTCCAATGAAAGCCCTATTTTAATACAACACGTGCCAGTTTGGTGGATGCAGTTTTTAAGGTAAGCGTTCAGCTGCTCTTAGCATTTTTATTTTAGCACTTTTTATCACAACTGAACTGTCTGGGTTCCCCCCCTCATTGTACATGAAACTGTCTTGTCAATGGGTTTTTACCATTCATAAATAAACATACTACTACTACTGTTGCCGCATGCTGCGTACAATTCCCACAATAAATTACATTACACAGTGTGCTTTGTTTTTAAACTAAAAAAAGTATATATACACACAACTGTGTTTAAACTTTGTGAAAACATATGATGGGTTATACTAAATTATTTTTATTTTTTCTCTTTTCAAGGATTGTTTTTCTGCTTCACGTCATACAATAAAACATTTTAGAAACTTTTAGAAAAAAATTCAATTTGTAGTAAGCTGAAAGAATAATATATTTGCCCTTCAGCTGTTTTTTTTGGGTTTTTGGTTTTACGTTAGTCACCTCAGTATCAGATGTAATGTCTTGTATCTCTAGTACTTTCTGGGAAGGGAATTGTCCCCAGACTACTCACCATGAACCCTTGTCGCGTGTGCTCTCTTAAAGGGAAAAAGATGCACGTTCAGCTTTCTACAAGCCGTCTGCGAGTAACACCGGGGATGGGAGAACAAAGTCGATGCTACCGTTGCGGGAAGAATGGCCACTGGTCCGGAATGTGCCCCTTAGATCAAATGGCTCAGGAGATGGGGCCACCTTATCATGATCCTTTCGCCGATCCTTATGTCCCAATGCGCAGTGCGGCGGCTGCCTACGCGGAGCGTATGTTATATGATGAACGCCGCAGCCTCATAGACTACTACCATCGTTACCGTATACGCCCGTCATCGTATGATACCTTTATGGAACGTCGACTGCCTCCTATCCCCCCACCATCAATGTCCACTTTAACACACAGAAAGCGTTTGGATTCCTATACATATGAGAGGCATTTGTTGCCACCTCCACCTCCGCTTCCCAGCTATTATTCACGAGATCGAAGCCCCATACGTCGTGCCGCTGCAACCACTGATGTGGAGGGATATGGTATGGAGCGCAGATTAAACCCTGCCGTACGGAGTTCGCTCTATGAAACCCCACGATACATGCGGGATTCCTATGCTGACCGGTCGCGGTTTTACTAGATTGAGGAGGTGAGGCTTTATAGTTTCTACTTCATTTCCTTTCCTGTGTCCTATTTTTTTTTTATTCTTTTTTTGTATTCTGCTTCGGGTCAACACTAGCATTTTCTAGATTTGTTTTTGCAAACCGTGCAGGTTTCAAAGCGCGCTATTTAAAGACGTATCGTGCACATAGTTAATGCTGTAACATAGTTGAGACAAATCTAAATCCAGTCAACTGCAATTTTAAAAGACGTGACTTTGCGTTTTTCTTTAAAAAAAAATACCCAAGTAATTCCTTTAGAAGTGTGTTCAAACATTTGTTATAGGACAGAGGTGTATAGAAACATAGGTTTTACATTTGTAAATGGCTATCATTTTTAAGCTAATGATTTTGCATAGTGAAGACCATTAAGAAGTGTCCTTGGAGCAATAACTAGGATATTCTGGTAAAGGTACAGGTAAGTGGTTAAAATGTGTCCAGCCGTTTTTTACTAGCTGACAATTTTGAAATTATCACATTAATGTGGCATTAGTGGAGCAATAGACCAGTTTTGCATAGTGAATGGTACTGGTTTTAATGACAAGCCCTCTAACCCTCAAAACAAAACTTAAAAGTTGCAAAAAAGAGAGGCCCCACTTTGTGGAGATGCTATTGAAAAAGTGTTTAGATCAGGTATTTTAGTTTACATTATGGGTTTTAGATACTTAGCAAGTGTGCAGTTAAAACGTCTGACATACTTTTCTGGATCAGAGAGGCAAACTTGACAGTCAAGACTGAGCTGTTGCAGAAAGCGTACAACGCTGACAGTTGTAATTCTTTTTGTGGGAGGTTTCCAATTGTATAGTCAGGCATTTGGCCGCTGAACATAATGTATGAATACATTTTTTTCTTTTAAGCGCCTAAAATCCTTTTAAACAAGTAACCCACGTGCTATCTTATTTAGCAGAACAAAGCTGCTGTCCTATGTTGTATAGTGATATGCAGGTCTTGCCTCCCCCATAGACTATTAGGGAATATCACATGCGATTGATATTTATTTTTTTACATTTTTAATTTTATACCAAACAAAAATGCAACGTTCAGTGCTTTCTTTTTAGTGTGAAATTCAGTTGGTTACATGTAGCATCATGGGAAAGAACATTGTGACAGAACTGCAGCTAATAAATTATAGGCACAAAAACCTCATGTGACACTTATCTACTTTAGTCCCAATCCATGTATCCATTTGAGTAAGTGCTGTAGATTAACATTCAATATTGGGAACTGATTGGTGGACATCCTTTAACTAATCGCTATGCCATCTGTATAACGTGAGCAAAGATGACAATCGTTGAAAACTACAATTTTCTACCTTTTTGTTTTTAGGTAAGATACGGTGTCCGGTGCAGTCTCCAGTTGGGTTTGCAATAGAAAGTTTTTACCTACGTACGCCAGATACATACAACATCAAACCTGTTTTTTGTTTTGTGGTTTTATTTTTTGGGGAGATGTAAATGTTTTATTTTTGGGTTTATATGGCCAGTACAGTTTGGGCACTTCTCAGCTTGGCTATCTGTGCAACACTACAGATTTTTTTCCATTTACAAAATGTTAGATATGTTAAATCTGTGGGCTAAAAATTACCCCTAAAATGTGTGAAAACTGCAATACATTGGAATGGGTCGGTAATCAAACTGTAACATGTATGTTTGATGTAGGTCTGTTTTTTTAAAAAAAAAAAAAATATTTTCAGGAAGTTAGCAATTGTAATGTCAAGGTTTGCTGCGCAGTGATTAATGTATTAGCAGAACAGGGCAGATTTGTGTCTGTCTGCATAGTATGCAGTGTGCCTGTTAAATGCTAACATTTACATTTTTTCCCTTTTTTTTTCCATCTTTCAATAATAAAGATCACTTTGAAAATTGTCTGTTTTGGATTATTGTGTTGGTTAAGTGTGGTGTGTGTTTGGGTTTTTCACTTTTTTTTTTTTTTTTTTTCTTGGGGTCTTACCTTACCTTTTTTTTTAAAGTAGAACTGAACTTGGTTTACTGTGCCTAAGTAAGAGACTTTTGTGGCCACATGCTCTGACCTCCATTGTGATGGTTGGCCTTACCCATCTTAAAGTGTCGGCCAGATCCAGTAACCTAAATGGCTGATTGCAGCCTGGCTTTCTGGTGGCGCTTTGCAGGACATCCCTGACATATACCGTATTTGCCGGCGTATAAGACGACTTTTTGACCCTTGAAAATCTTCTCAAAAGTCGGGGGTCGTCTTATACGCCGGTACACATGTTAGGGGGGCTGCGGCATTAAGTACAGGGGTTTGCAGGGGCTGATGTCTCTTACCTGGATCCAGTCCCACGACGATCTGGTCCAGGAAGCGCGGCGTCTCCTTCAGTTCGGCCACTGGATGTTCGTGCGGCTGCTCGGCTCCGCCTCCTCACCGGTGATTGGCCGCCAGAACTGTAGCTCAGGAAAGGCACACAGGCGGCCAATCACCGGCGAGGGGGCGGAGCCAAGCGGGCCCGCGAAAATTGAGTGCCGGAGCAGCAGGTAAGTGTTCTGTGTAGAGGTGCTGCTGCAACCACATATGCTGGCTGCAGCAGCACCATACGAGAACAGGGTCAGCAAGTCTCAGTGGGAGGAATAGTGCCCCATCATTGGTGTCACTGATACCAATGATGGGGCACTATTCCTCCCACTGATACCAACGATGGGGCACTATTCCTCCCCCCCACTGACACCAACGATGGGGCACTATTCCTCCCCCCCACTGACACCAACGATGGGGCACTATTCCCCCCCCCCCCCCCCCCCGACACCAACGATGGGGCACTATTCCCCCCCCCCCCCCCCGACACCAACGATGGGGCACTATTCCCCCCCCCCCCCCGACACCAACGATGGGGCACTATTCCCCCCCCCCCCCCCGACACCAACGATGGGGCACTATTCCCCCCCCCCCCGACACCAACGATGGGGCACTATTCCCCCCCCCCCCTGACACCAACGATGGGGCACTATTCCCCCCCCCCCTGACACCAACGATGGGGCACTATTCCCCCCCCCCCCTGACACCAACGATGGGGCACTATTCCCCCCCCCCCTGACACCAACGATGGGGCACTATTCCCCCCCCCCCTGACACCAACGATGGGGCACTATTCCCCCCCCCCCTGACACCAACGATGGGGCACTATTCCCCCCCCCCCCTGACACCAACGATGGGGCACTATTCCCCCCCCCCCTGACACCAACGATGGGGCACTATTCCCCCCCCCCCCCCTGACACCAACGATGGGGCACTATTCCCCCCCCCCCCCTGACACCAACGATGGGGCACTATTCCCCCCCCCCCCTGACACCAACGATGGGGCACTATTCCCCCCCCCCCCCTGACACCAACGATGGGCACTATTCCCCCCCCCCCCTGACACCAACGATGGGGCACTATTCCCCCCCCCCCCCCCGACACCAACGATGGGGCACTATTCCCCCCCCCCCCCCACTATTCCCCCCCCCCCTGACACCAACGATGGGGCACTATTCCCCCCCCCCCCCCTGACACCAACGATGGGGCACTATTCCCCCCCCCCCCCCCTGACACCAACGATGGGGCACTATTCCCCCCCCCCCCCCCCCTGACACCAACGATGGGGCACTATTCCCCCCCCCCCCCCCCCCCCCGACACCAACGATGGGGCACTATTCCCCCCCCCCCCCCCCCCCCCCCGACACCAACGATGGGGCACTATTCCCCCCCCCCCCCCCCCCCCCCCCCCCCTGACACCAACGATGGGGGCACTATTCCCCCCCCCCCCCTGACACCAACGATGGGGCACTATTCCCCCCCCCCCCCCCCTGACACCAACGATGGGGCACTATCCCCCCCCCCCCCCCCCCCCCCCCCCCTGACACCAACGATGGGGCACTATTCCCCCCCCCCCCCCACTGACACCAACGATGGGGCACTATTCCCCCCCCCCCCCCCCGACACCAACGATGGGGCACTATCCCCCCCCCCCCCACTGACACCAACGATGGGGCACTATTCCCCCCCCCCCCACTGACACCAACGATGGGGCACTATTCCCCCCCCCCCCCCACTGACACCAACGATGGGGCACTATTCCCCCCCCCCCACTGACACCAACGATGGGGCACTATTCCCCCCCCCCCCCCCCCACTGACACCAACGATGGGGCACTATTCCCCCCCCCCCCCCCCCACTGACACCAACGATGGGGCACTATTCCCCCCCCCCCACTGACACCAACGATGGGGCACTATTCCCCCCCCCCCCCCCCACTGACACCAACGATGGGGCACTATCCCCCCCCCCCCCCCACTGACACCAACGATGGGGCACTATTCCCCCCCCCCCCCCCACTGACACCAACGATGGGGCACTATTCCCCCCCCCCCCCACTGACACCAACGATGGGGCACTATTCCCCCCCCCCCCCCACTGACACCAACGATGGGGCACTATCCCCCCCCCCCCCACTGACACCAACGATGGGGCACTATTCCTCCCACAGGTGTGCATTGTAAGAGGGGTATTCTTATACGGCGAGTATAGCCCAAACACTACATTTTAGCAGGAAAAGTAGGGGGGTCGTCTTATACGCCCAGTCGTCTTATACGCCGGCAAATACGGTAGGTATCTTAAAGCGGTAGTAAAGTGTGCTTTGATTTTTGCCTACAGGTAAGCTTGTAAAAAAGCTTACCTGTAGATAAAATGTATCTCCTAAACATGTACTGTTTTAGGAGATTTGCTCTTTTGGCAGTCGGCAGCAACCCTCAACTGCTCAGGACATGAACTAGAAGGTGGAGAACTGAAAATGCAAAATCGCCAATTTTAATGTATGCAGGTGTGCCTCGTATAACAAAGGCCCTTTGCACACTGGGTTTTTAGGCCCTGTTCATGAGATTCTGGTGTTTTCTTGCAGATGGATGGCACAGCTGCACCATCAAGGCTGCTGGCAGCAATCTGTAAAGGTATGCAAGACTAAAAGTCGCTGTTCCTAGAAGGTGCACGG